TATATATATATATATATATATACATATATACATATATACACACTGCATAATATACTGATATATATATATATATACACACTGCATAATATACTGCAAATGCTTGTATGATAAATGAAGGGGTTAAAAAGTTAACTTCTGATATGCGATAGTTGCAAAAGAACACAATGATTAGAGAACAAAGTAATGCTTTATTTTACAGCCTGGCATTTATTACATATACAGTACTTTGAAATTTTCCAAGAAGACACAAGTCATTAAATAGTTGAAAGGTTTGCATGTTGGAGGCTGTAAAATTAAGCTTTAGTAATTAGTATCATTGCAAACGCAGATTCAGACATAGTAGACAACACTACATCAAAAATAAACTTTTTTTTTTCTTGCCCGCCACTCCCTCCTGCACAGGAAACAAAACATGAAGAACATATATTTTGAATGTAGATTTTCTCCCTCACCGGGATAATTAAATGTTTTTTTATTTTGTCAAATGTACATAAATTATATTTAATGCATCACATGAGCAAATCATATATATTTATATATATATATATATCATCTAAAAAGAGAAAAAAAGGAGGCAACATAAGAGAGAATGACATTCTTTGTTGAGATCGTTTTTAAACAAGTATTGGTCAGGCGTTTCATTAACCTGGGAAAAGCAAAGTGCTACACACAACAACCACTGAAGACAGTTAACCTTACATCTGAATGAGGATTGGACTGAAGCACCTTTTCTTAGCATAAAGCTAAAAATGGAGATTTCTTCTTTTTTCCCCATTTAATCAAAAAAAAAAAACAATACCTACATTTGGATGTTTAAAGTCTACCTTCTAGAACCCACAGGGTCGATTCGACCCGTTTCTAAAAGAGGGGCACATTGCAGTGATGATGTTTCAAGTTAAAGTACGTGTGAACGGCTTGACCCAACAGGCGGCAAACACCCTTGGTTTCTGCTATCATTTTTTATCTTTTCAGGATAGAGCTTCGAGTGCAAATAAAAGCGTACGACTCCTTCATGAGAAATAGACATGGAACCTAGTCACATGCTTTTTTTAAAATTATATTAATATATTTAATTGATACACATATATTGCCACCGTTGGCACATACGATATTGCACACAGTGATGAAATGTTGCACAGGAAAAATAAAAATAGATGCATCTTTTATGGGCAAAAACATTCAAAAATGACAAATAAAGTGGAATAATGCTGAAAAGGTAGTTCTGTTTAAATTCTAGAAAATGAAAAATTGTTTCGCTACTTCCCATTTACTGCCACACAGCTATTTTAGATCAAAATTAGTGATTCAAGTGTGTGTGGGGGGGAGGTCCTTCCATCACGATCTTTGTTTTTTTTCTCCAAATATTTAGCTCTCGCTCAACGAGACATTAGCCTGATCCTCTGCATCGTCTTGCATCTAGGTGACCACCCCCTTCCATGTTTACATGTAGGCCGATACCTGGATGGCTAAAAGGGGAAGCAATGGAGTTATAGGGAAGAAAGGAAGGCAGCAGAAAAAGAGTTAAGAATCTGCTCCCCAGGGTTTGTAGCAAACCCTTTTAGCACCACGAGTCGTGCGCTAGCACACAAGGGGGCCGAGACACAAAACTGGAAAAAAATAAAAAAAAAACAAGCGTGAGAAAGAAAAGCCAAAACTGCGATCCAAAGCACCAGGCCAGCGTGTAAGCATGCGGAGTGTGTAAGGCACCAGGTTGTTTTATATGCTGAAGAGGATGCTCCCCATACAGGTGTCGTTTAGGCTTAAACCAGAGGCTCCTGGTAGTAAGGTTGTCAAGGAAAGTCTAGTTTTGCTGGTTTCCAGTCAATTGGAAGGCGGGAGCAATCGTTTGATTCGTTGATGAGGTAAATCTGAAATATTCTGATTGTTGCCAGTTTCTCTGGAACTTACTGACAAGAGTTTATAAAACTGCTATCAAACATCTATGAGATGCGACTGAACTGGTTTCAGAACCAGTCTTTTTACCAACTGGCAGCCCAAGTATATACAATTAGATCAGACTGCCCTCATTCCCCAGACAGATATTTGGGCTTACAAATCTTAAATTAAGCTGCAGCATGCTCCCAAAATAACCGCTCAGGATTTAACTTGTAGAGCCACCAACTCCATTCTGTTACCATTTACAATCTCCTTTCTGAGACATATTCCTCTCCTACATCAGAGAAGAAAAGGTCCTGAAGCGATATTTCAGGAGACCGATGAAACCTCATCTAGTGCAGGTTAACATGCAGCAAGAGCACTCCTTGGCACCATTTAGACTTTTATGACTGAATATCACAAAATGCTGCTGTTTCAGGTAGAGATGCACCAATTATTTAATCAGATGATTTCCCCTAAAACTGCTGATAGGGAATGGCAAAAACTAAATATATATTTTTTTCTTCATTAAACATTAAATGCCTAAGAATAATTCACATATATGTCCTGCCAACTAACGGCACAGTCCGACCATAAACTACAAATATGAACTTTCAATATCCTATGGTTTTTAAATGATGCAATATTATAGAATTTATAAAGTAAAACCATGAATGTTTGTCAGAGAATTCTGATCCGTGCTGCAATTCATTTGTAACTGATGGCAATAGTGGCTGTTTAGAGTAGAGATGCACCAAGCAGACAGATTTTGATGGATTAGCTCTGATCTGAAGAGGATAAAAAAAAAAAAAATCCAACAATTTATCCAAAGAATAACGGCTCAAAATAAAAAAGGCCCATTATTTTTTTGTCCAAAAAAAAAAAAAAAAATAAAAGGTATACTTTGTAGTTATTAGAGCAATACGCTTCAAGGCACAAATGGTAATTTATATTTCTTCATTGGAGTTAGATTTAACACCTACATGTCAATTAAATAACTCGCGGCAAATATTTAGATTTTTGGAAAACAAGAAAAAAAAAACTAACATATACAGGGTTAAGCAAAGTCTATTGGTGCGTCTCCATTTATAACTAAAAAGGAAAAGGAAAAGGAAAGGAAAAGGAAAAATAATCTGTTATGGATACAGATGCACCCTGATTTGGTCTTCATGGGCTCCAATAGTTGATCTGCAGGTCAAATAATGCGAAGAAAACAAACAATTTCTATTCAAATAAGTATAAAAACTGAGAACCATCAGCATTTCTTAGCTATAGCGCGTAATTTGTTGCAATTTTTTGAATGTCGACGAAAACATCAAAAATATTCATGTAATACTTTTAATTTGTGACCCTTTCTTCATGCATTATAGCTCATAAGTCAAATGTAAAAAAAAAAATTGGGCCTCTCTCATTTTAAAGGAAATCATCATGCTGATCGGTGCATCTCTATTTTCACGTAACCCTCGTCTGCATTGAATTGAGCCACTTAAACCTCTTGTGTGTGTCTTAATTTTTTCAACTGGGGCAAATTGCTACATGTTCTCATTGCATTTCCTCCATCAAAAACACTTAGTACCTTTTTTTAAGTTAACACATTGCATCAATGATAAGACAGAAAGGTAGTCTATAATATATCCATCGGCATGGCAACAATATAAAACAAAAAGAATTACGATATCTATATTTCTTTGAATGCCTCTAGCAACGGCCATGTCAACAACTGTTGACCAGTTTAATATAATTAATTCATCTCAAATGCATATTGCACAACAAATATAGCACTTATTTCATTTCATGAAAATGCCTCTATATTCCTTTTTATGTACTGCATGACATCTAACCACTTTCCATAGCAAGCCTAGCCCTCATAAATGATTTATGTGTAAACACATCTCTACTCACAGGTAAAGGTAATGGCAAGTACATGTGATCACTTTTTTTGTTGTTTAAATAAAGATTTGGATTCTTTTTTGAAAGATCAAAATATCGGATTTGTGCTGAAGTCATTAGCTCACATGTAAAGTAACCCCCCTCCCCTCTTTTTCTATTTGAACATTGCAAACACCTTTTTAACAATAGCTTTAACTGGTACAAAAGTTCTGTTAATAAGGGAAATAAACACTCCGTTCAATATTATCAAGTAGGAATCAATGTTCGAATATAATGTTATTACTTTGTTTAGCAGCCTGTTACTGTATTAATGGTGATAAGTGGGGTAACATCCAGCGATGAGTGACAACATGTCATAACTGTCAGGTTGTGGAGGTTTTCTTATACTGAGTGATGCTCCCTTGGAGTTAAACTTTGACAGTTAAAATCTTTAGATCCTTCCTTTATACAGTAGAGTTTGAACTTTAATTCTGTGGTTATTTTCATTAATCTTGCATGTTTTCCTCCGTTATCAATCCTCATCTCCATCGTCCGCCTGCATCTCCTCCTGTTGCAGCTCGCATGCCCTTTTCTCCCGCTGCTTCTCCTGGATCTTCTTCATCTCCTCGGCATATTTACAGAAAGTGTTCCCGAATTTGGACCACACTTTGTAGGGCACCGTGATAGAGTTGCGGTAGGTGGGCTTCACCTCGCTCACCCTCATAAAGACACCGTACTTATTGGACCCAACGTCGAAGAAAAACCGCTTATTGTCCACAGTCAACGACGAGCCTTCGGGCAGCTCCGCCGGCTCGTCCTCCAGACCGTAATCGTCAATAAGTTTAGCCAGAGCGTCGCGGAACTCAATAAGTCCCTGGGCGGGCAGAGCGATCGTCTGGCCTTGCGTGGATCCCAACCCGGGCCCCCGGTTAACGGTCTGTCTGATCCGTAGAAACCGTCCTCTCTGGTTCTCTTTCAGATCCATGTAATATTTCCGATTTTCTCGGACCAGGAACTCACTTTTTAGCGCCCGCCTGGGCTCGTCCTGTACCATCCCGGGGTTGCTCGGTCCTAGCTGGGCGTAGTGCTCGATGAAGTCCCCCAAGTAGTCTCGGAACTCGACAGCCACGGACATGGAGAGAGTGAGGCGGCTCTTGTTTCCGCCGGCCCCGACTTCGGCTATCTTCAAGAAGCGGCCCTTTGCGTTCTGCTTTACGTCCAAATAGAAGCGCTTGTTCTGGATGTCGACCCGCTTTGACGCCAGCTCCTGCGTCTCGTGCTGGAGCCCGGAAGCCGAGCCCGCCCCTCCTGCAGCTAAGTGCATGGAGCCGAAGCCTGGGCCCGTGGCCGCTCCTCCCTGCTCACTTCCACTGTCTCTGTCCGCCATATTGCCGCCTGCCTGCCTTGCCTGCCTTCTCCCTCCGACTGCAGCAAAGCCACGGCCAGCTGAGCCCGTGCTTGGAGCTCTCGCGAGATCTACACAGAGAGCGAGGAAACGAGAGGGAGGGGGTATTAATGCAGCTCGAAGGCTCCTGCTGTTCTCTCCATCTCCCGTTGTTTCCCTGATGTGGGGAGCAACATTTTTGATACAAGTGAAACGAAACTGAAGAATTAAAATCAGTTTCGATTTTTCATAACACTTAATGGAAAGGCAGGTACTTTTCCTTTATGGAAAGACCCTAACTTGGTTTATATATATATATATATATATATATATATAGGATAGTATTTCATATATATTGTATAATGCCTGGTAGCATTATACAATATCACAACTAATAATTAACAACCTTACGTGAACATTTTACAAAACCTGTCATATTTGGCTGATTAATCTTTTTATACAAGGATTATACCCTCGTAAATTTTACAACTAAAAGTGATCTGGATGGCTGGGGGGAAAAAACTTTACACACTTACCTTAAATGGTAATAGAAATAGAAAACAATCCTCTTGAAAATAAACTCTTCACACATTTTCTCAATAAAGTTAACATAAACAAAGTAATTTATTAAAATATACCCCAAGTGTAAAAAAAAAAAAGTATATATATATATATATATACACATTTTCTCAATAAAGTTAACATAAACAAAGTAATTTATTAAAATATACCCCAAGTGTAAAAAAAAAAGTATAAAAATATATATAGCTATATATATATATATATATATATATATATATATATATATATATATATATATATATATATCAAAACAAATATGAAACACCAGACAGACTTCTGTGATTAGGTGCGTTCATTATGTCCCCTACAGCAGGCATCCCCAACCTCGGTCCTCGAGGCCCGCTGTCCTGTAGGTTTTAGAGGTTTCCTTGCTCCAGCACAGCTGATTTTAATTGAAAGCTGATTAACAGGCTTTTGGTCTACTGCAATCATAATCAGCTGTGCTAAGGCAGTGAAACCTCTAAAACCTGCAGGACAGCGGGCATCGAGGACCGAGGTTGTGGATGCCTGCCCTACAGGACGCATGAATGACAGCGCATACTTTAAAAAAACAAAAAAAACAAAAAAAAAACCATGCGTAATTATTTGATTAAATTTACTTTACAGCCATCGTTACCTGATCTCCTTGGATATTTGCAGGCACCATGTGAAAAAGTCCCGTTTTTACAGGGCCCAATATTAATCAGCGCTCTGAGGCCTCTCTGCTCGCTTTTTGGCCGATTTATTACGAGCCATTTCCTTCCTGGCCAATTTTCTAGGATTTTTCCACAGTTCCTATTCAGGTGGTGGATTTTTCTTCCTAAATAGCGTTTGAGTGACACTCCATGCCCTGCGGTTAGGCTACAAACATATCGCCACAATAGGAGGTCAACTCATGGCCAGGTTTTATTGAGCTTTAAATTAATGCTGCTGCCAGTGTAAGACGCATTCAGTATGTTGTTTAAACTCATAATTGTTGACGCATCTTCTGCGCAGCACAGAGAAATCGGCAGTTCTGCTGATCCTAATTGTTATAGCTATATTGAAGCAGTTCCACTCCACTTCTTCATGCGCAAACTTGACAGTTAATACAGTTGACAATTAAGCAAAGGTTAAGCTTAAAAAGCACAAAAATCTAAAT